AGAGTGTTTTTATCTGCTTGCCTGTTTTTATTGCAAGCTCCTTGACTACACCATTGTTTTTTGTATGATGTCATAGACATCATGAGCAATATGAGGAGAACCAGAGAGCAGGGGGGAGTCATTGCAATTTCTGATGGTGATTTCTTCTGTGTGGTTTTGAGCCAGTCAATTCACTGCTCTGTACTTTTCTTTCCTTGCCTCATGTTTTCATCTACCTTGTCTGCTTAGGCAGCTTCACAGCATAAGATTTGTGTGTGTCTTTACAGCTGGGCCTGCCTGAAGTTGGTGATGCTTTTAGAAGCAAATATATTGCATGTACAGAAAAAAAGAAAAATTATCTTGTTGGGCATTTGCTATGCCAGGAGCTGTGCAGAGACTGCTCAATTTTACCCATGTTATAGAATAATCCTTGTTCCGATTTAAGTTAAAATACATTTTAATCCTTCACCCGGGGATTTGTAGATTGAAATCCACGCTTTCCTAGTAGGGTAAAGTTTTGTTTGACCCTCATAGATAAAATCTGTGCCTGCAGCACCATCCAGTTCCAATACTCAGTTTTAGAAGTATGAGGGCTGGGGAGATCAGGATATGGATCTGAGTTAAATTCACTAACTTGTGCATGTATCAATATTTCTCCTTTTTCTTCTTTCTTCCCTAAAGATTTTATTTCAGTGCAAATTTTGTCATCTCAGAAAGGGAGTAAAAAACAATTTCATGCTGCTATGTTTCTTTGATTTGTTTTTTGAGTTGTGTCTCCCGTTTTTTAGTACTTTGCTTATTATTGCTGTGTTCCTCGAATTGTCTTCCTCCAGTATTCCCAGATATGCAAATCTCTGTCACCGCCATGCTGTGTTTCTGTTGTCCCCCTTCACCTTCTCCCCAGCTGTGCTGAGATTTCCAGAAAGTTTCATGTTCTTCTGTAGCCACCGTGTGTCCAGGTCCCGGCTCCCAGGAGTGATTCTGCTGCCTGTTTGCACTGTGCCCTGAAGAACCCTGTCTGTTTTCCAACAACACGCAAGCTGTTTTAAGACTTCATATGTGCTCTTTTGATTTCCTTGATAATTACTTTTCCCAAGACAGAATCCATTCTTAGTACAGGGTTTGTAGGCCTTGGATCCTTTTGCTTGTTGGTACAAAAGTTGTCTTTATACCTCCTATCAGCTGTGGCAACCTTTGGGTTCTGTTTTTCCAGATAGACCTCTTCAGTCTCTCTTCTATCTACCTCTTAAGTGCCCCTACCTTCTACCTGCTAAATTATTTAATTTAGAATTTGTGTTAACCATTTGTGTGATTAACAGGTTTAGTTTGTGTAATGTTTCAGGATAGAACTTGAATAGAAGTTTCCATACAAAGCAAAAAGTGTTGCAAATTATCACCTCAAAAAGGCTAAATTTGCCCAAGAGGATTCCCAGAGAGCCAGGTTTCAGAGGTTCCTTGGGAATTCCCAGGATTCCCAAAAGCAGATTTGATTTTACCTGTAAAACCATAAATAGCCTATGTTAAAAACCAGCAGTGTTTTACAGACCATGGACTGGAGACAATGAATTTTAATGGCTTGCTTGGGGTGATTGAAAAGTGTTTTTTTTTTAGTTTATAAGTAATGTCTGCAAAGTTAAACAGCTGGTTTCTTTTCTCAGTTGCAATTACAAAATATTGCAAGTTCTTAAAGTGGAATTTTTATGAAAATACTGAATAAAGCTTTCATTTGAACAATTTGTACCATCACGCATCTGTTCAGGGGGTTTAGGGCAACCTGGAAGATTTAGGGGTGCAGATTCTGTTCAAAATGGAGCCTGGGGTAAATATAAACTAAAATAGGTCTGTAAATATGGAAATGCTTCTTAAAAATAAATATTTTTATTTTGTGGCTACCAACAGAATACCTGTGTACCTTCCTCTAGCACCCTAAACAGCAACTGGAAATTAGTTTATTCTGTGCATCAACTGAGTAACAAAAACTGTGGTTTTAAATGTTTTATTTAAATTTTTTTTAACTGAGTTCAGGTTAAGATTTGTTGCAGTTACTGTTAGTAACTAAAGTAACTAAAGTTAGTAAATAAAGCTGAATATATGAGCTTTTTGACTATAACCAACGGTGATTCAATATTACATATATTTTATGGCCTTAGGAACAATGAGCAGTGCGCTGAGGGTCAGATACGCACTCAATGACTCAATGAAAGCAATCGAGGGGAGGTACCCAGGCTGCCCTCCTTTTGCAGAGGGTGAACATCTATCTCTGGGTGGAAGGGCTGCTGCTTCCCGGCACACACAGCTTTTGTCTGGCTTCCCTGCTGGCTGAGGGAGACACTGCTGCATGAGACCTCAGCAGAGAGATGAAAGAGATGCAGGAACTACATTCCCTATCAATCAGCAGGATCTGCAGAGTGGTGAAGCTGGTGCCTTGCACGAGCTGTGACGTGGTGTGATGTCTGTAGGTAAGGTCCCCAGGCAGTGCTGGGGGCATGCCAGACAGAGGGTGGTAGTTTATGTTTGCTGTAACACTATTTGACAAGGAAAGCTGCAGGAGGAGGCTGTTTTGAGCAGAGGAACATCCTCTTGGTCTGTTGTGCTGTTTGTTTCTTCCCAAGAAACTGTTTTCCCTTTTCCTCCCTATGCTTTGCTACTGTAATTTTCCTGCTATTGATTTTGCTGCTGAAAGTCCCGATTGATTGTAGGAATCAAAAAGCCCAAGCTGAAATATTCCATCCTGAAAACACCTCAGAAATAGCAGTGTTATTTTCCACACGCCTTCCTTGAGGATAAGTGCCAGGCCCTGGTCAAATACAATCAGCTCTTAGCTCTTACATCACACAGAGAGGCTGGGGTGGAAAAGCTTAAAAAATATGTGAAGCCATATTTTATTCTAAGTTTGGAGAAAACTATTTCAAATAACATGTTCTAAATGAGGAGAAGCAAATATATCTGGTTTTAGTAAAGCAGAGCATTGCAGGCAGTGGCCTCCAGTAGAAGTGTTTCCACTCTATCCCAAATGTCATAGCTGTATTTTGCTGCCATACACATGTATATGCAATTGCAGGAAAAGCTTACGACAAAGACCTTCAGCATCTCCTGGGCCAGGCTGGCAGAAGGAGCTCAGCTTCTAAATTTCAATACCTCTATTTAGGACATCCAAAATTTAGTAAAGAAGGGTGCTGCTTTCCCTCTTCTCATCGGTCTGCACAAAACCATTTTGTTGTTAATAACAACAAAAAAGGGCTACAGAAAATTAATCAATCACAAATATCCATAAGGTCCTGCAGAATATCACTCTCTTTCTTCCAGTAAAATAAATGAGGCACATATTTTTAAGTGTTTCAATAATTTTTCATAGTAAAGAACTTCATAGACACTAACTAATCTTGGAAGTGGAATCATACTGTTTAATTTTTTTTAATAAGTTTTTAAGAGAAACTTAGAAATGTTTGAGAAATGTAATTAATAAAATTATTGGTGCATTTAATTGCTTTATGAAAGTGAGCATGGTAACTGGATAACCATGTTAGCTGGATATTCTCCTATTACAGCTGATCATATTAGTTATTGCCAGTCTGTTGGCACTCCAAGGAGTATATGCTCAGTTGCAGGTCTTTCTGGAGGGTTCTTTTTCTGGACTGCTTACTGAAATAAGTCAAAGTCCAAATGAATCCTGAATTGCACAGTAATAAGTTTCATTATTGACTTGCAGAGCTACCAATTAAAAAAAAAAAAAAAAACCACCAACCAACCCAACCGAAGCCCCAAAGCTTTTGTAATTAAAGTGTTGGAAGCAAGAGAGAAATTGTCAGACAAAGCCTGCTGATAAGAATACGAAAGAATGGGAAAATAATTGAGAATGAAGGAACTGAGTATATAATTTTCCTGCTTTCTTAGTTACAAATTCTATCTATTTTTCTCAATATAGCTGAATAATAATTGTTGCTATATATACAGTAACAAAAACTACACCCTTTAGAAGAACATTTCCTCACACTGCATCATTCCTGATTACAAAACAAATATGCAAATAAAAATCAACCACAAGGCATAATTTAAATTGCAACAATGAACTGGTTCTTCTCATGCAGAGCAGCTTCCCAGCAGAACCTGGGTCGAGCAGGATGAAAAGAAGATGCCATGATCTGGCAAGTGAAGCCAGCTGAGCAGAGCACGAATCTTTGTGTCACCCTGAGCAGGGAGCATTCCTGAGTCAGGCATACAAGGAGTGCCTGCTGGTGCTCAGCGCCTGCCAGCACTGCACACATGCAGGGCAAAACATCAGCACAAGTCCTGTCAAAGCCAAGTGTGCCCTGTAGACGTCTGGATTCCCTCAAGGACAGGCAAAGGCAGGCATTCCCAAAGACAGGAGCTGAATTCCAGAGCTACCTGGTTTGTTGAAATGCATCTGCAGTATGAACTCCTTTTCTCTGCCAGGAGGCAGGGAGCTGCCCGATACCTCGTAAACTTAATTGAAAACTAGAGCAGGTACTTCTACACACCACAGCACATGGGCCAGTCCCACCACAAGCTGACCCAAGAGTGCCTGGAAGAAATTTAACAGGCTTCTCTTTTAACATTCTGACCCTTTCACTCCCTTTGCTTTTGTGTATTTAACTCTAAAAAAATAAAGCATCATATTACAAAATTATTTCTAAGGGATTTAATTTAGGAAGCTCACACAGTGAGTGACAAAAAATAAATAGTATTCATGAGGCCAGGTTCTAGACTATGTTAGGGGAGCTCATTTTCTTTCACCTGGAGAGGAACATCTCCCACCACCAAACAAAAAGTGCACTATGTGGTATTTATTCTGCTCCATCACCACAATTCTGTGCCTTTCCAGCTGTGATACTGTCAAGAGAAGGATACCAGCTTACCAAAGCCCAGCTGCCAAGACAGGAGGAAGTGCACACGGAACTCCAAGCTGATGCTTTTCTGCCAGGGCTGCTGCAATAAATTCAACCCACTTGCACCAAGATACAAAAAGAATAGTATCACACATTGAAAAACAGAGAAATAGGTTTTAATCATCTAAGAAACACATCTGTTTTATTCAGCTGCTGAACACAACAATTCAGTTTTTATTCTACTTGAGGTCTTCAGCCTCCTCCTTCTAAAGCCTGCAAATTTTCTAGATACTGGGTAACAGCCTCTATCTCTGCAAACTCCAATAGTCTGTTGATGAGCTTATCCAGTGCTTCTTTCCCACTTAGAATTTCCTATGAAAAAAAGCAGACAAAAGCATTACTGACTGTACTTCAGCATTATTCTGAAACACCAAGTACTCAAACCCCTAAAATGCACTTTGCCTGCAGTCCCTCCACTTGCTCATCCTTGCAAGTCCCTCCCATGTGAAAGCAGCAGTGGTGGACAGCAGCAGGACATCAGCTGCCTGCCTGCAAGGCACATGGATTCTGGCAACAAAAGCAGCTAATGCCCTACTTTCATGTAAGCCATGCACCCACATGAAAATTCCCTGCAAGAACAATCTAAGATTGAAGAACCTCATCCAACTACTGTTGTCCATGGCAAGAGTGAGGCTGTTTTGCAAGCAAAGCTTGATTAACTTTTGTCAGGCAGTTTATGGTTCCAGTTTCACTCAAGAAAGATCCAAACACTAAGTAACTGGCTAACAAAAGCCACTTTTATGCAGTCATGGAACTATTTTCTCTGCCATGGTATTCTGCACTCCATTAACTGTGAACCATTGCAAATTCAGTATGCCCTGCATTCTCTGGAGTTACCCAGGACACCTGTGGGTACAGTTTGAAAAGCACTGCTCCTTATACAACAGCACTTAGAGCAAACTGGAGACCTAAGCCAAAATATTGAGGGATCACTCTAAACTTTGTTTTTCATAAATTTAATACAAAAAATCCATTATTAGGGTTTTTTTCCAATTGTAAAAAAAACCCCAATAAACAGAATCATAGATTGGCTTGGAAGGTACAGTAAAGATCATCCAATTCCAGCCCCTCCTGCCATGGGCAGGGACACTTTTCACTAGACCAAGCTGCTCAAAGCCCCTCCAACTTGGCCTTGAACACTTCCAGAGATGAGGCATCCACAACTTCACTGGGCAGCCTGCTCTAGTGTCTTTCCACCCTCACAGTAAAGAAATTTTTCCTAATATCTAATCTAAATATACCCTAGTTTAGTTTGAAGCCATTCCCCCTTGTCCTGTCACTACATGCTCTTGTAAAAATCTCCCTCTTTCTTGTAGGCTCCCTTTGAATACTGGAAGGCAGCAATTAGGTCACTCCAAAGCTTTCTCTTTTCCAGGTTGAACAATCAATAAGATTGAAACCATATGCAGACCATTTACTCAGAAAATCTTAAAACGAAAACATTAAATTTCAGTTTCTTTTTACTGTGGCCTGTGATGCAACATAAAAGTTTTTCTCATTCTTTTCTCCAGCATTAGGAAGAGGAAAGAATGGCCTAACAAAAATAAAAAGTCCTTCCTATCAGATTTTTGGTTTGGATGTACTATGCTTCAAGAATCTCAAATGTCACTTGGCTACTTTGGCCAAAGGACTCATGGATCTCATTGAGGACTACATGCTGGGTCACTTTCCACTCACACAGTAGGAGAAAAACACACAAAGTAGGCCAGTGAGCTACAGCCTGTGCCAGTAATCTGCAAGACTACAAGAAGGCAGGAAAGAAAGTTTAAAGTTTCTAAATCTAGTGTTCTGTCAGAGCACAACTGGCTACTTTCTTTACATATAGACATCTATATCTTAAGTTGTACTCACTAAGTTAATTTCTTCTTTTTAATGGTAAATGTGAGTATCTAAATACCCTCATAAGGAACCCTTACCTTAATATTGCGGGCATCATATGAGATCCTGTGGTCAGTCACTCTGTCCTGGGTGAAGTTGTAAGTACGAATTCTCTCTGACTGGGCTCTTGTTCCCAACTGCAGCAAAGCACGAAAAAACAAAATCTGTTGTGTTTAAAAAAACCCCAAATACTTCTCTAGAATAGAATGCTTAAAATAAACTGTAATGGATCAGCCTGTTCCAACTACCAACCTAGTGGTCACTGGCTTGGCACATGAGATTTTTAAAAATATTGTGGCATTACTGAACTGTGATTCTGTATCACGGACCAAGTTTCTATATCCTCCAGCACATTCCTGTTCTAACTCTGTAGCTGAAAGAACCACATAACTCTCAAAGGTTGTGTAAGGTACGAAAGTCCTTACTTCAAGAAAGATACAAGTGGGGTTTACTGGGGGGAGGGGGGTTTGTATCTTCCACACAAAATAATGAAATTAGGCTCCATTAATAATGGAAGCAGCTGTGTGTGGCTGTTGGAAATTAGCACCAAAAGAGACTTAGATTAAGAGTAAGAAGTTAAGTTACCCTCTAGTGGTGAAGTGTGAAAGTGCAAACAGCAATTTTAACTTTAAGCAGAAACCCAAAAGTAGCACTGTTGGGATTAAACACTTCACTAAACACTGTGGTCTCTGCTAAAATGGAGAATTAAATGCTAAAAAATGCTCAGATAAATAAATATGTGTCTGTTTCAGTGGCCTTTGGTGAAAATTTCATCTGCACTCAACAAGTGTATTTTAGAATGTGGAATTTTTTGAATAAATTCTGAAACACTAGGAAAGGTAATTAACTTCTGACTGATTTTCCACACTAGAAATATAAATGTATATAAATATAAATATTTAAAAATATAAATATAAATATAAAATAATAAATATAAATCCTTTATGCCGCTTTGAAGGCTCTCACACTGAAATTAATAACAAAAGATAAATGGCTCCCTGTTTTCAGTCTGGGAAATTCACTGCTCACATTGGGGTTAATAATCTGCAGGGACAATACACTTAAATGCAACCTGAAATAAGTGACTAAATAGCTGGGCTGGAAAATCTGGAGTACTGAGTAATTCCCTGATTCTGAAGCATTTTTATTCCAATAGATCACTATTGAAGTTTGAACCACAAATGGGAAAACACTCAAAGAATGGGAAAAGAATGACAGGACATTTTGAGAGAAATGCAGCCCAACTTGAGCTAACTCTTCCAGAAACTGTTTCTTCCTCAAAGGGTTACCTAAACAGTATCAAATAAGCTGCTACTTAATTGCATAGTGGCAGTTTTGTCATTTACTTGATTCTCTCAAAACCTCTGTATGGCCTTAAAATACTCTCCTTTAGAAACTTCTGAGAACTCCAGATCTACTGGAAAACTACTTCACTCAATAGTTTTCTTTGAATGTAACTTTCTACTGATGCTTAGTTTCTGTAACTCTGGCCTTAACAGGGGCATTCAGTACACGATGTTGAATTTTCCCTTTTGAAAAATTTCGGCCTGTTGACCCTTCTTTCCAGCCACGGCTGATGTCTCTTTTCACTGCCTGAGAAGTCTACAATACCATTGCACTGGGGTAAGTAAAGGCAGACTTACCATTTTGAAGTACAAGATTCTCCTCCCTTGTAAGGACCCCTAGTTAGACACACACTCTCACTTGCTCTGTCCCCATCACCCAGAGAGATCAGAAACAAACCTACAACACAACACAACACAACACCCTCTCCAGATCTCAGGCACCACTTGCCTCACCTGCAGCTTCCTGGCACTCTGCTCTTGACTGAGCTGCTTTTCAACGAGCTGCTGGTACAGCTTAGCTCTCAGTGTCCGCAGAGCTATTTCCTTGTTCAGCTGCTGTGACCGCTCCTGCTGGCACTCAACCGCCAGTCCTTCACACAGGCATCCAAGAGCCCATTAGAACAAAGAACAAACAAGCTGAATTAATTCCAACACATTAGGCAAATGAAACCTACTGGAGTGCTGGTTTGTAGGGCCTTTCAGCTGTGGGATAAAAAGTCATTTTAACACACTGGCCAGAACCATTAGTGTGTTTTTAAACTTGTCACAGCTGCACTGGGGGGTTTTGTTATGTGCTACAGAAAAGTCAGTGATATTTTAAAATCTCATTAAGCAAACAAATTTCTGACATTGCCTCTAGAAACTGGGCTCACTCCAATTAGCTGTCATATGTTAAAAATGCAATTTGAGTCCACAGTCCACAAGAAGATGTTTAAAAGAGTGTAACACAAGTTTTTAAAATCTTAGCCCAGATAAGCTAAGACTGGAAAATTCATTATTCTAGGAGAAAGGGGTGCCTAATCAACACTGGTGAGTCTTGAACTAAATTATGAAAAAGGAGATAAAACAAGACCTTTAAGTCTTGAAAAGAAATCAACTTCTCATTTGATTTCTGAATGAAAAAGGCATATATGGAATAGCTGTTTTCAGGTCAATTTCACGTGCCTAAAGTGATTCTGTATCTTACAGAGTGAAGCTCAGTGAGTTTCAATAAAACAAATCCCAAAAAAGACAGAGTGTTCCAGTCTACACAGTACCTTCCCATCAATATACACTTTCCTTTCTATCCAACATATGATAGCATTATCTAGTATGGAACGAAGATCTTCAAGCCTTCTTTTTAATCAGTCATGTAACTACACAGATTCCTGCTAGGCTAAGCATGTCCTTGATACTGCTGAAGGTACAGAGCACACAGGGCAAATTATTTACATTTTCTACCCCATCCCTGTCACCCTCCATTTGTTCTTTCATCCTTGAAAGTCAGTGTATTCATGAAACACCCCCTCTGAAGACAACTGGCATAATCATTGTGGCCCTGGTATATAGACCCTTTCTTACATTGCCTGGCTACATGAGCGACAGAAACAGAAGGGGCTACTTCTCCTTTCTTGGTATAAGGCCTAGCCCTGAAAGAAACAACCTGCAGAATCACAAGCTTCCTTTTCAAGATACAGATTCAGTGTAATGAGAAGTGCAAAGTACAGCCAGACTTACCTGTAGGAAGGTGCACAATCCTCACAGCACTATCAGTTTTGTTAACATGTTGCTCTCCTGCTCCTTTGGCTCTGAACGTATCTATACGCAAATCTTTGGGATCCACTTTAACATCAACCTAGAATCAAAGAAAATTACTACTTCCTGCTCATTCTAAAAATATTTGGACATCAGTGACACTCAGCATTAATAAGAAATAATTTCTCAAAAAATTGCTCCTTTACAACTGTCCTAAGTAACAGTCATAATCATTATAATTTAAAAAATGCAGTGTCAAATATCTCTGAAAAGCAAATGATGCCTTAAAGATTTCACTTAGCTTTTCAAACTCTTACTCCAGGTCCTCCACAAAACAAGGTATGTGTGTGTGTCAAACAAAACACAATCACTGTTTTTCAAAATCACTAGTTGTGGCAGAGAAGCCAAGAAATAAGCAAATATTTAAAAACCACTTCTAGACAGCATTGCAAGGATCTTGTTTATGAGCCAAGCCTGAATGATTATTGCAACAGTACTTAGAATCATCTGAGGAGAAAATAGGATCCATTCAAGTAAGGATTGCTACACTGGAAACAGGAGTCCATGATGACCTGGATCATAGTTTGAGCTCAGTGGATGGGAAAAGAACATTCAGATCTGATCAATGTTGCAAGGAAAGTATTACAAAGAAGCAGGAGAAGGTGCAGGAAAAGCCTACAGGATCTGGTTTTGTGTATTTTTTGTGCAAATTGGTGGTCTAAGTTAGAACTGTTGGTATTAGTGAGATCTCAGACAAGACTAGACAACACACTCATTCACATTCAAAGAAGACTGTCCTTGTTTTACAAGAGAAGGACACCGATAATTTACATTAAACAAAAAAAATCAAAAGCATGTACAAAATCACATTACTATGCAACACTGAGTATTTTCTTGGATATATTCTGTGTCTTAGTACCTGATGTAATTTAAAATTGGCTTACTCATAGCAGTGAGCCTTGTCAGTGTTGGGCCTGGAATACTTAATTAAATGATCACTCACTCACATGCCATTTCAGGCAACACCAAATCTCTGCAAAGTTGCCTCTGATGATCCATTTGTACATGTAAGGTAGAGTGCCAAGGACTATCACCTCCCAGACTCAGAGCACTTGTGGTTCTTTTGCTGGGATTTGCACAAAGCACTTGGTTATCAGTGAAATCCCCAAAACAGTAACATGGTTTTACACCTATTCCAAAGCCGGAATGGGTGAGCAAGGGTTCAGCACCACCTTACCAAACCAATGAACAGCTTACCTCCTCTGGCTGAGGGAGGACAATGACTGACATTGTCCCAGTGTGAATACGCTGCATTCTTGATGACATACCCGTCTCAGGGATTCGCTGGACTCGGTGAGTCCCTCCTTCATATTTCAGATGCCTGTAGACATTCTCTCCTGAAATATGAGCAGCAGCATGATGCAAGCCTCCTGGAGAGACAAAGAGTGTGTGACAAATACAGCAGAGAAACACTGCTTTCAATTCCATGGCCTTGGAATCTCTGAAGAACTGCTGTACCTATCTCAGCTGGTGTATAGTTCACGATGTCAAAGGTCCAACGTTTGTAGTCAGCATAGCTCTGGTACATGTCGAACATTTCTTTAGTGAACTGTTGGCAGATGTCCCCTAAAAATTAAAAAGCATTACAACATAAACAACAGTTTTTAGATTTATCTGCAACTCTAACTCCAGTCATTAGGCAGGTTAATGATCATCTTTAGAAAGTATTACTTTATGCCGGTAAAGTATAAAAAAAGCATTAAGAATAACCCATAAGAGGTTTAATGGAGTTGGATGGAGGTTGGAAGTAATCTTCACTGTAGGGTCTTTGCTGACCTCCAGTTGTTCTGCCAGCTGTCACTTCTAATACGACAGAACTTCTATCATATTTTTCCTTTGGCACTAGAAGCTGGAAAAGCTGAAAAAAAAAAAAAAAAAGAACACCATTATCTCTGTCATGACCTTGGATCTTCTGTTAATCAAATTTACAGCCAGACTTCACAATTGCCACAGCCTGAGCACACACAATCACTGACTTCCTTTGGCAAGCTAGTTAAATCGGACTAAAAACTGTCCAATGACCATTGCAACTCAGTGCAGTCAGTGTGGAAATGAGAGATGCTAGTGCATCCACATGAAAGCTAGCTAAAAATCTGGTCCTGCCAAGTCAGGTGCACACCACAGGTCAACACCACTCCCAGCTACTTATGAAGACAAAGTTATTAGCTAACCCAGCCAGTTTTTGCATTAATCTTATTTTTCAGAAAGTCACATTTCATATTATTTCAGTCTGAGTACAGAAATGAGCCCAAACACAATGGTGTCCAGTGAATTGTTTCAACTTCTTTGCTTTTATTTTCCCCACTCATGGAATGCTGTCAGCTGAAGAGAAAATGAAGGACTGAAAATTCCAATCAGAAATCCTTCAAGAGTGCATGCTCCACTGCCACAAACAGTTACTAGGATGTTATGTCAAATCTTAGTAGCACAGACCCAACACTTTTTTAATCCCCTTCAGCATTTGCAGACAGACAAGCAAGCAAGAGAAATTACTCAATCATGTCCTAAGACACAATTGTCACTAAGAAGCTTATTAGTAATTAATGTTGACACTTCTTTTCAGGGAGAATACAGAAGCTGGACTTCTGTTTCATCAAACTCAAGTGTCAGAATCTATTGGTAAGATCACAGAGGAAAGGTTTTCTGACATCTTTATTTACAGAGCTGTAAAATTTTACCTCAGGCTCACCTTTCTGCACAACATGTTCATTTTTTTATCCAGGCTTTCCTTCTCTTCTAAGGCAAGCTCTAGAAGTTGTTTCTCATCTCTGCTGTCTAGTTCTAAATTCGAACAACAGGAGCAGATGTTAGCCATTGTCACCTAGAGCAAACTATAACACAGCTGTCCAAAGACATGCGCTGCAGCACAGCAAAGCTAGTAATGTTTTGTCAGCGTGAGATACTCAAATAAGAGCAGCCAAGCTAGGATGCACTTTGCTAACTCAATGATCATATTTTCCAGGTGTTCTAGAAGAAGTAGCAGATATTTTACCTGTGATTAGACTGCTCCTTCCCCCATTTTAGAACTTACTAACAAACGACAACGCATTCTCAGGTAAAGCTCACAGAAGCTCCAACCCTTTTCTGCTGTGGAGGCTCCACCTTACAGTAACAAAAAATGCTTATCACTTAGCAATAGATTATACACCAAGTAAAAACTTGGAAGACAGTTGGAGTCAAGTGGAAAACCTGTCACTGCTGAAACAGGGAACCCCTTCTCCTTTTCATCTTTCTTTCCACTCTTCTACTCACCAGAAAGTGAGCAATTCTACTCACTGAAATGAAGAAGCAAGTCTGGTTGAATAAGCGCACATTTTTACCAAGCCAAGTTGAACTAGATTTAAATTACAACGGGACAATTATCAACACAAATTAGGAGGGAATGGCTGAAGCCAGCTTTGAGCAGCTAGGAGTAAGAATGATGGAACAAAGCAACAAAGAGAAGGTGAAAATCTTCTGCCTAGTAGCCAGTATGGAAACCACAGATTTGTCGCAGATGCAGCATAAAACTGGACTCTCAATCACTTCTAGCTGGTCCAAAAAGTATGTTTATCAATCAGTTAGATAAACAGTATAAAATTAAATACTGTCAACACACTGAGAGATGGTCTGATGGTGACCAATGAGCTTAAGGTTCAAAGGATTGGTATCCCATTCCTACCTCCCTTCAAAACAGAATTAACTTAACCTATCTTGTGACTCACAGCACCAGAGGGAAACCGGGAAATATTTTTCTGCTTCACTGAGTGTTGCAAATATAAAATCCTACATCAATTGTCAGGAATTCAGATACTAGAGAGAAGAGGGTCAGTTAGGGAGCTAAGTGGAAAACAGGTAACAGCCAAATGAAGGAGACATCTGTGTTTTAACTTGGCCACAGAATAAATGGTACAGACAGAATAATTTGGCTCTATTTAATTCATTTATTTGCTGTAATTTTTTACCATTCTTTTTCCTTCTTTCAACTAGAACTCACTCCATCCCGCCACATCATAATTTATGGAGATAGGAAAATTCTTCATTATATTACTTTGATCCAAAACCAGCCTTTCTAAGTTGAAATATGAATTTTCCAGAGTTTTCTTAATACTTTTTAATTATTTCAAGAACATTTATTTTTCAGCATTAAATTTTTGTACCTTGTCTCCTTCACTCTTTCTCCTCTTTTCTCCAGTGAAGAGAATTAGAGAGGGTTGAGGATTAAAATAGTTTAAATAACCTTTTTATTTCCCAAAAGCACAAACATCTATTTATTTCTAGAACTAAAATATACAAATGTTTTCTACCCATCTAAATAAGTTACATTTACATCTTTATTTCAGTATGTCTTACTGTTATGTCCACACCCCTTGTCTCTCTCTCTGAAAAGCACCATGAACTTTTGTCCTCTTCCATTTACACTGCTGAGCACTGATTTCTCCTGTCCTTTGATTTTCCCCTCCTTCACTGCTTTAATTAAATTTAAACCCCTTTCTCTTCAGGTCAGCGTTTCCCTCTCTGGGCTTAATACTTACCATAGTAGCAGAATGGGTGCCATTTTTTCCTTCCTGCTGTGTGCACCTCCTCACACTTGTAACAATACTGGGGCTTTGTCCCAAATGGTGCACCATTACTTATTTTGTAAATTCTTTTATTTATTCCCTCTGTACTTTCTTATTCCTAAATGGTACAAAAACCAGTTAAAAGTTTTAAATCTCTTTTACCACAAATTCTACTGTACCAGGCTATTGAAAAACAGCAGCTTCTTAAACAACCATCATTTTTTTATTCCCCAAATATTTTCAAAGAAATATTAGCTTTTGCCATTTAAATTGGAAGCTGGCAACTCAGAGCCTAATGAAAGTTCATGTCATTTGCTCAATAAATATCACTGAACTGGTCAGGTGGAATCCCATTTTAAATAACACGGCTGAGGTCTGCATCTATCAAAGGTTTTAGCCTCGTGAATTTTTTTTTTCCTTTCAAACTTCTCTCAGTTCAACCAAAAAATAACCTCAAAACGAACACTTCCCAACTATTTCTGTTAGACGGGTATCGCTGAGGTTTCAAACAATCCCTATTCTCCCAAAATTACCATATTTAGACCTCAAATTAAAGTGAGGTGAGATGAAAAACAGAAGGATGTGGATGCAGAAAGCCTTTGCAGCACACAAGTCCCCAGGAGAAGGGAGGACCAGGGAGTGTTCCAGGGCTGGCTGAACTTACTCACAAGCTTTCCTCAAAGGCTGGGCAATGAAATTTATCACAAGCACAGCTGGTGTTCTGAAGCAAGCAAGTAGATGTGTTTTCCTTTACCTGTGCACATCGCTTCTAACTCCTGAACTTCTCTTTCAGCCTCTTTGATTTCTTGAAATGCAGCTGCAATGGGGGACAGATCGGCACATCTTCTCCTCAGGGTTCTTTGCTCAAAGTCATTTAATGAGTGCGCACTTAACTGATGACTAACCTGCTGGTATTCCTTGCTGAGAGACTCCAGATACTTCTGCACAGCCTCATGCTTCCACAAAGCTTGAGAATCCTGGTGGTTTTTCCTGTGCCAACTCTTAAAAGACAGAGTGAATCTAGATGTGTCCATTAAAGGCTTTGGCCTCCAAAATCCATGGTTGTGTAGTCCCACCGTGCAGCCTATCTTCTTTACAACAGGAGGGAGAAGACAGCTGTCAAGTTGGCTGTGACAGCAGCAATTGGCAAGCAAGCTCTTGAAAAGGCAGACCTTTTGGAAAGGTTTCATTTTGTTTCTTATTTTTCCACCACCTGAAATTAAAAGTTCACAGTACATTGGCCAGTGTTGTTATCTAGAAAAAGAAAACATTCTATTAAAAAAAAAACAAACACAAAAAATGAACACAAGGATGGTATCAAGCCCATATCCTGGTTTGATTACAACACAAATGCAACTGTCATGCACAAAACTATTCCTGTTTTAGTCCCAGTTTAAACCAGCAGCTCTTATCACTACCATTGTACTGACTCAGGGTTGGAAAAGTCTTTTCTCTCCCCTCCTCAAACAGTTTATTTATACTAATGAAAAGCTCCTATGTATATAGCTTTACAGACAATAGCTTTATTTTGCCATATGTCTCCTTGCAAAAATCCAACCATTTCATGCCTTACTGATGAAAGAAAAATGTTGCTGAGAAAACAAATCAATACTACAGGTAAAGAATTCTATAAAGAGAATATAAGAAATGTCCAGAATTACGTGACAAATTATATCCACTACCATAAAAGAAGGACATTATTAGATGACCACACAACAGATCAGTCAAGAGGACTACAATGCACTTAAAAAAAAAATCACTCACTCATATATAAAGAAGACAGGAGAACTGCTTTACGTCCCTTGTATACTCCTTACTGTGATATATTTACACGTAACCAACATAATATTTTCCATCCAAAAAGTGAGTAAGAAGCAGGTACTCTGAAATACAATTCCTGTATTTTTCTGAGATATTTGGCCTAAAGTTTTATATTACCCAGGCTCCACTTAGCATTACTACTGCTCTATGAAAGATAATTTCCTCTTCATTTTATATCATCAACATTGCAAACTACATTATGAATTACTACGGTGCTCTAAAATTTCATATTGGAGCGTAAGGCTCTACCAGGAACACTACATTAAGATCACACTTACTCTAGGGCTACTCACACAGAAAAGGTTTAACATACAAAGAAGCATTCCTAGTAACCCCCCCAGTGACACGGTCCCATCTGCCCACTGATTTTTACAAAAAAGCGGGGTTTGAGAAAATAATAGCATGAACCTTTTTGCAACAAGATCACCTGGAAACACATTTCAGTTTCCTGACAAAGTAAAATTACTTTTTATTCTTCAGTGACAAGACCTTCTGTGCATCTTCATGCATTTTACTAACAAATTAACTGTGACACTCTAACTACTCATCTCACCCATTATTCTCACCTATTTGCTTTCATCCATTTGTCCACAATGAAGAGCGAGCAATATCCAGTAAAACCAGAAATACTGCATCTTGTCTGAGTGCTTGTTTTACTAACTACAGAAGGAGGCAAGGACCTTATTCTATTTCTGTACCCTCCCCAGACTCCCCAGCCAGCAGGTGCTATCGAATCCACAGCAGCAGCTTCAAGACTTTCAATGTACAGAAAGCAAATTATAGCCCTCCTGGATTGCTATAGTGACTAAAACCAGCTGCAGCAGAGGGATCCTGTTCCTTTCACCAGGAACACAGCAAAAGGCACAAATCAGGCTCATCGTCTATGATCCTGGATTTAGGCATGAGTGGACTCAGTTCCAAAAGACCTAATTCTATTGATAAATATGGACTTGCTCCAGATCGGCATGGCCCACTGTTCTTTGGCTAAGTGCTGACCATCATCAACTCAATTTCAAAATATTGTTTTATTTTAATTAATTCATTAAACATATTAATTACAACCATCTAGCTAACTTTTACTGGTGTAGTTAAGAAGCAATGTACTCAAATAATAACAAATTTGATGTGTTGCTTTGCCTGAGCTCACAGAAAGAAAAAAAAAAAGAGTAAGAGTAATGAAATGACACCGACCTTCAAGGAAGTTAGAAGTTTCAAAGTAATTTTGCTATGTTAAATAAGAAAAGTATCTCCTTCTCAGAGTGGGGCTGCCACACCTTATTTCCATAAAAATAAACAGACCTCTAACTTTTACAGAGCTATGAGCATTAGATGACCTATTAAATGATCTTCAAATTAGATTTTAATAACTTTTAAATATGATTAAAACTACCTCGTGCACACCACAAATCAAAAACAAGTAAGCGAATGTGGCAACTGTAATTGTCCAATTAAAATAATAATTAAAAAAAATAATTTCAAGACAGGAAAGAGTTCTCAATCTTGCGAACTCTTTCAGAGGTTATAAAATGCATTTCTAACAACCAAAGACGCCATGCAGCAGCACTCAGGCACATAGGAATTCGCAGGTGCACGGCAGGAGGAGGTACTGCAATGCTCGCCGACTGGATCGGGAACAGCTCGAGCCCCCAGAGCACCTCCCACCATGGGCCAAGCCCCCGACAGCAGGGAGCGCCCGGCAGCCCGGCCCGCGGCGGGGCTGGCGGGGCAGGGAGAGGCGGGAGCGGGGAAAAGAGGCAGGAGCGGGGAGAGAGGGGCGGCAGGAGCGGGCAGCAGAGGCAGGCGCACCGGCGGGGCGGGGGCTCCGGCACTCACCATCCGCACGCCCGGAGGCCGCAGGGCTCCCGGCCCGGCCCGGCCCGGGGCAGACGGGAAGCGCAGCGGGCGCACGCCCATCCCAGCATTCCTGCGGGGAAACGCGCTTCCCGTGCCCCGCCGCCGCCTGCACCGCGCGGCAGCGCCCGAGCCCCGCCGGCCGCAAAGGCAGCGTCCGCCCTTCGAATCTGCTCAGTAAAATACTCATTTCAGAGACATCTGAATAAAATAACATTAAGCTCCGCTTTGTGTCAGAGCTCACTACTCAATTCTATTTAAATTGAATTATTACTATTCTACTAAAGGCAAACAAAATATTAATAAAAATTACCATTCTGCTTATGACTATGCTAGTTAGCTGCTTCCTCAGAAAGTATGTTTTAAAACATACTAGGTATGTGGATATTTTAAAAGCTATTGTTAAACATTATATCATTACCTCCCTAATTAAAATTTTAAAAATACTTAAGCAATGTTTTTTTATACCTGTTATACCAAAATAGCTTTCTTCTCAGCTACTATCATTCTACAAAATTAAAAAAAAAAAAAGGAAAAGAAAAAGGTAGAACTTTTGTATTTGGCATGTAAAGCATCACTGGAATTTGGTGTGGTAAATATTCTAAAAGACTGAAAATTGAACCAATCAATGGGTAGGATTTGGATCAAAGCTCAGCATCTGAATGACAACTAACCGCTTGTTTGGGCCTGAGGACAGGTTCTGGCTCTTCTCTACCTGTGGGTACAGGAGGCAAGGCAGACAGATGGAAAACCACTTCCAGAGAACAGGACCCACCCTGGAGTTGGTCCACAGGAAGGGCCACAGGAAACAGCACCCTGAAATCTTCCCCAGGCCCGAGCCCACAGTGATGTGCCATTAGAGATGCCATCAGCCAGACACCATTCCCAGACACTTCACTCTGCTTCCACTATGATTTCTGGGGCTCAGTGAAATGAAATAATAAAATTGTACTTGCATTGGTACTCTAAATATGCAATTTGATACTTAAAAGTATTGGGAAGGCCTTCTCTAGGAGGACAACCAAGAACCTAATAATCTGAAACTGCCAGTAGACCTCATGCTGCAAAACTGGTTTTAAAAGAAGAAGGTAGGCCAAGGAAAATGAAATCAGCTTCTACTCCAGCCAGTAATGATTCTTGTATTAAATCCTCTGATTAAACACGATTATGTTCAGTGTTTATTATGCCTTGTGGGTGAATGTTCTAACTTAAGTGTGAAAATAGAGACTGTAACAAAGTCCTGCTCCCTCTCTACCAGGCACCAAAGCACACAGGGGCTACACAGCCAAGACAAGAGATGGACTCTGTGCAGGGCTGCCAGGGACCGTCCACCACAGGACCTGTCCATGCATCTCATACTCAAAACATGCAAGATACATTCTTTCCCTTAAGTTTACCCTGGGCTTTTAGACTGCAGCATGGGAACAGAGTATGTACATGAAATCTGCTTCTACCCCTCTCACAGTTTATTTAGATGCCTTAAAACCTGCATGGCTGAAGTAGCAACTGCTGATAGAGCTGGTGAGCACAAGGGGTTATGGGGCATGGCCTATCTGGGGCAGGGTGCCAGCACCTTCCTCAGCAGTCCACAGTGACACTGGGTGCAGAAAGGAAGAGTGACAGCAGGAAGACAGCTGGGTTCTGCGGCTTCAGGACAGATGTGGTGGACCTGTACTTTAAAACCTGGCACTATTAACCTGCCAATTTAGAAACTGGAGGCAAATGGATGGTTCAACAGACAGAACAAGCTCCAGGCCTTGCAACATGCTTGGCTTGAAGGCAAGTCCATGCCCATACAGGGGCCCTTCTTCACCCAGGGGCCCTAACTGGGTTTAGTGGTGTGTGAGCATCTCCCCGCAACTTCCACAGGAGCAAAGCGATACACACCGCAAAAATAGCAAACTTGTTACAATGTATGCAACACTTCAATATTGTTCCCCCCTTTCAGCCCCAACAGTTCAGGCTTCTGAAATCTTTCTGTTAGAAGGAAAAAATGGTGACAGAATCATATGCATCTTGAATACAGTCCTGTTTAATAACAAAGCCTGTAGAGAGAGCTTTGTTTTGCCCAGCACAGTGGGATTAAATGACAAGAAGTTTTCTTGACTGCGCTCCCAAACCTCACTTTCAGTTGGAGCTCTGCCTTCCCACAAAGCTCATTTCTTTGTTTATTCTCTCCCAGCTAGCCTACAAATGTTTCTTTTATTGCCTCCCTGCTTTCCTTTTCTTGCTGCTTTTAACAGACTTTTAATATGGACACATCTAGATGCAAATTGAACCCCTGCCTTTTATTTGCAATTTGCCTACTTTCAGACAGCATTCTTTCCAGTGTTTGGACTATCGGGAAACAGAGACCTTTCGCTATCAAGACCAGCCTTATTGCTTTAGATCAAAGGTCCACCTGGCACAATATTTGTCTGACCAGTCTCCATGATGCATCGGTTTATCATTCAGTCATTCAACCCAACCAGAGGCATAATATGTCTTCTGCCAAGACAGAAACTAGGGTTCATAGAGTCAAGGCTTCAGCTAGTTGTTAGAAGTGCTGAAGACATTACGTGGTACAAACAGGGTCTAAAAATTATGCTGCAGGGCAAAGCCAAGGCTGCCATACCTCAAAGTAATACTCCTGCTTTGTAACAATCAGATACCCAATGCAGCACTACTACAGCATATAGCAGAAAGAACAGTGAATTAGGTACTGCATGTGTAAAACACACATACTGTGATCGGTGACCCTGCTGACTGACATCATTAGAAGCATGCCAGAACAAAAAAGTGAGAAATAAACACAATAGAGATATTCCTTATGACAGACCATACATCTAGACAGATTAACAAAACACTATGGAAACCAACAACCATTCACTAAAAGCATCCATAGGCTTATGGCTCAGCTATAAAGAACTATAGGGCCTATACCTTCTCATCTTTGCTATTTTCATCTCAGGAAGCTTCCTAAACATACCACTTTTTTTTAATCTTTTTTTTTTTTTTTTTAATTTATTAGTCCTCAAGTTATTAGGATGACATGCAGGTTACTCTCTTCCAAGAAATTGTCTGCTATTTTGTTCCCTCTGTTAGCCGGAAAGGAAAGCAGCTATCATGTCATCAGCTTCAGCAAGGCTTGTGTCAAGTCAAGGACATGCTGCTTGGGATCTTCAGTCTCATAGCCATCTGCTCACCGAGTACCAAATAACATATACTAAGTACACAAATTTTCTAATTGGCTCTTGTGAGTTACTGTTTCACACACACTTGCTTTACCTGGGGATATCTATCATGTTCTTCATCTGCGACTGTAGGTGGGTAACCATACCATTACAGAACTCATATATTTTGAAATAAATGCCAAAAATATAATTAATATTTTAAAAGGTTAATTATGTAAACAGGTATTTTAATTGCAGTCAATTTTAGTTTATTTTCTAGTTTAATTCCCCTATAAGATGTCTTTTTAATTGATTGCAACCCTGACAGTTTAACCAATTTTCCTTCTAAGTAATGCCCTAGACCATGTAGTTTTAGCGTTCCTGGTTTTTGGCGGTTTTGATTTGGTTTAGTTTTTAAGAATGATTTTTGGGAATAACAACAAAAAAAAAAAAAAAAGACCTTAGACCTCCTTCGGTGAAGGAGCCAAGCGATGAAAAAACGCCGTTGTTCTATGGACGCACGATGGTGTCGGGAAGTTTTACATAACCGACTGCTGAAAATGCCTTAATGCGACGGGGGCCGTCCCTGCTTGCTCGAAGCCTGGCTGCCAAGTTTGCTGTTGTTTCCTTAAATACCAGCCAGGGCACTGCAAGCCCGCAGAGCCTCTCCGAGCCCCGCCGCCGACAGAGGCTGCGCTCCTTCCCAACGCCGCCTCCCTCCCTCCCAGGCTTGCGGGCAGCCCGGCTCTCCGAAGCGGCCGCTCGAGCGCCGGGAGCGCAGCGCTTCAGCCGCCACTCCGGGAATCGCCCAGGGAATCGCGGAAGGAATCCCCACTCCGTGCCCTGCGGCCGGGCGGGCGAAAGGGGCGTCCGTGAGGGGGAGCGGTGCTGCGCCTGCGCCAAGGAGCCCCCGGCGGCCATTTTGCAGCGTCAGGCGGGCGGCGAGGCGCCCCGGCAGCTGCGCAGAGGGGCCCGGGGGAGCCGGCGGGGAGGGCGGGCGGCGCAGGGCTATGAGTTAAAGTGCCGCCGCCGCCACCCCGCCGAGTTCGGGCTTTTCCTCCCCGGCGCTCCCCCACCCCCCCCCCTTCTCCCGTCCCTCGTGCCGACAGCCGCCCCTCCTGGGCCGCCCCCACCCCCGCCAGCCGTGCCTGTCCCAGGGCCGCCCGCGCCATGCCGTCCGTGCCGCTGCCGCCCAAGGAGAGCAACCTCTTCAAGCGGATCCTGGTGAGCCACCGGCCCCGCTCCTCTCTCCTCCTCCCGCCGCCGCTTCTCCCTCCTCTTCCCTCCGGCTCGCCGGCCTCGCTCGGTGCCCTCCGGGTCACTTCGCCCGCCGCCGGAGTTGGCCCCGGCTGAGCGCACACGGACGCGGCGGCCGCGCTCGCCGGGGGGAGCCGCGCTGCCGTCGCCTCCTCGCCCCGGTTCGTCCTCGCTTCCTTCCTTCCTTTGTCTGGGGCCCGCCGAGCAGGCCGGGCGAGCCACCGCTGCTCGTGTTGGCGGCCGGGAAGGGCTGGTGTGGCCCCCGGCCGCGGGAGGGCGGGAAGGAGGGAGGGGGCCAGGCAGCTCCCCGGGCCGCCGAGCGCCTTCCTCCCGCCCGCCGCGGGGAATGCGGGGCAGCCGGGGCTGCGCCGCCGCCCCCGCTCCCCTCCCCGCGCAGTGCGGAAGGAGAAGACCTCGAAGCACGGTGCGAGTGTAGCAGGATTTGCAGTTGCTTGGTTGATTCCCGTCTGCACTTCATTTCCAGCGAGAGCGTCAGTTTCAGTGTAGGGATCGCGTTAAAAGTAGTTCGCTCGCTCAGCAGTTTTCAGCGTAGTTGAAGACGTGCGATGGAATGAAGTATTCTGCTTCTATGCGTACTTTGGAGGACTTGTCTCATCTCCTTTGTGCTGGGCAAATTCCGCTCTTTGGGACTTAGCGGTGCAAAGGACGTTTAGTGTTTGCGAGATAACTTTGAAGAAGAAACTCACTTTAGCTGTGACTTTCTAACTCAATCACTATACTTTATCATGCTAACGCTTTATAGAAATAAAAAGTCCCACTCCGCCCCCCCGAGACAAGAAAACACCACACTCCCCTTTTCATGAGCTTGTCAGTGTGGTAGTAATGGAGTTGCAGCCTCAACAAAATTGAGGTGTTTTGTTTCAGTTTACCTCTCTGCAGGCAGAGGACGTCTGTGCAACACACTAAGTAATCCTGCTGGCAGGCGCAGATTTCTTTAGTTCTCTTTGAATTGCTTCGGTAGTTTCAGTGCTTCAGAACCACAGTAGTGATTCGGAGGTAGACATTTGGGCTTCAGGAAGCTGAGCTCAGTGTCACTAAGCTCCTGTGCTCTGTATGGAGCTGATTTGTTTCAGCAGGTTCTTCAGAGTGGTTTTCTTTTGGCTGCTTTGCATAGTATACAGGGTTTTAAAAAACTTACTTGTTCTTAATGGTGATTTGTTGCTTACTGCATGCTTATGGTATGCATCTTAGTAAGTCATTCTAGCACTCCTCTTTCTCTCGGCTAAAAATAAGTGACTAATATTAGAACAGTTAAGTGATTATTCTTACTAGCAGCAGACAACTTGACAGTAGCAGCCACTCTAAAGTTTTTTGATTGGATTATAGAATGGCTTTTCTAGATACCATATTTTAGACAGTGGTTTTTTAATATTAAACAGTAAGTAAAACTGTTGGAAATTTTACTTAGGCAAGGAGGTGAGATACATAAAACTTCAGTGAAGTTCATGCAGAAATTTACTTGCGTTATAAAACTTTCAGAATCCTTTAACTGGTGCTGTGTAGTTGCAGTTGCTGCCAGTTGTAGCTTGCCAGTTGCAGTTCCTAAAGTGTTGATCACAAAATTACTGGCTTGCCTCTTCATATAGTGTCACTTCTTGAAACTTAATTTCTTAATTTTTTTTTATGACTGGCTCTGACTCTTTCGTGGTGCTCTTCTTTTTGGAATTCTAATGCTGACATACTACAAATGGAACCCTTTGATTGCTTGACATGTCTCAGAGTATTTTTGTTTAGTAGTATAGCCTGTGGTGCTAAAGGCTCTTTAATCAAACCAGCTTTTGCTTACTTAGGCACTGCTAGAATATTTTAAATGCGCATAGCATCCCTAGTAATTTCCAAAATTGGGGGCAGGGATTAAGTGGGAGGCTGCATAATAAGACCCTAGAAGCATGTAGTGATTTAATTACTTGGAACAGATGCTAGGAAATTATATTCATATATTAAGACTTTAGTATTTTTATGAACACTGCGGAGAATTAACAGTTGAGAAAGTGAAAACTCATTTGGAGATCATGAGAAATCCTTCACAGTGACTTGGTGTGTGGATGTAACATATGAGACAGGTTATCAATGTTCTGAACAAGACGGCCCAAGTAACAGCAAAGCTGTCGGAGCTGCCCTGGCTAGTGTGGCCTCTTGGAGATCAGTGTAAGCTGAGAAGGCTGCTCGAGAAGCTGAGTAAATAGTCTTTAAGTCCCATCAATTTGTGTGCTTGCATGCTTGGCAGTGCTTGAACAAGCTGACTTAAAACTAACAGTTAGGTGATTAGCGAAGTAATAGCAATTGCAGTATAGGTAGTAGTCCTAGTTGATCAGGACTGCTGTAAGGTAGTTCTGAAGCTCCTTTCTTGCTCTGTTCTGTCTTCCAGTTCTGTTTTGAGTCTTAGGCCATACTGTCACTGTTCTGCAGAAACTTTCTCAGTCTAGAGGCTCTACCCTTGGAAGACCTGTTGGTCCTTACATGTGTGGTGTTGTTTGGGAGTAAGGGGCTGAGCAGCTTCAAGCTCTTCTCCTCCACTTCACAGCCTCACAGAAGGCATGGAGGAAGTATTTGAATATGTTCCCCTCTCATGGAAGAGAAAAACATCATAAATAAGAATTAATATAGGAGTGCTTGTGTGTTTCAGCTTAGGTGACTTTTTAAGTAAATGGGGCAGATGCTATCTAAAGTAAGCATACTCATGGTAACTTAGAAAGGCTTCTTGTTAAGGTTGAAGTTTGGTATCATGTATTTGGTGTTTACTTCTAGTAAGCTTAGCCTGATCTTCTGTTTGTGTATTTTTAAAATTGAGCTGTAAACTTACCTTCAGAGTATGTTTCAGTTTAAGCAGCTTTGATTTTTTTTTTTTCTTTCACCCAAGAATCCATACTACAAACTGTCTCAGAGTTGTTCTTAAACATTGGCTTTATGGAATCAAATCAGCTCTGTCTGGACAGGGCATGACAGTAATCTTTGTAAGTAGTCTAGTAGGTTTTAGAGGAAAGCCTTGGGATTCTTTCTTGGCTCACTTGCCAAGTTGTTTTGTTTTCAGTAAATGCTTACGGTCTTCTAGTATGTATTGGTGTGAGCCCAGGCTCATGCAGTATAAGGTATTGTCTGATGTTTGTTTCATGTTTAACAGAACTGTGGATAGTATCACGCCTGTAACTGACTAATCCTTTTGTTTCTTAGCAAATTCCTCATATTGCTGTTGCCTAAAATAAGGTTTGCTGCTTTAATTGCAGCTGACTTCAACTAATAAGACTCAAAACGTCTGGAAGTATTACAGCAGTGGGTTGTTGCTGCTCAGTTCATTGAGCCATGCATTTTCCATTTTTCAGGGTAAGGAAATGCTAGAAATTACTTAAAATGCCCTCTCTGAGGACTTGTTCAGCTTCTTTGTAATGTTCTTTTTGTTCTCCAACTTCTTCAGTGACCTTAAATGATTTATTCTTGGATAAAATATAAATATACAGGTGTTTGTAGGATTTAATTAATTCTTATCCATAGAATTCTGAAAGCTTTTTTAAAAAAAATTATTTAATGAAATAATAATGGTTTATAAGCATGCAACTAGTCAGTCTCCTGGGAATGATATGGGGGAGTTAATGAACTATTAAAGTCGGTAATTGGGAAGTTATGTTGTTATGCTAATGAGGGCCTCCAAAGTGTTATAGGTTCTGTAGCTGAGGTAGCCATTATTAATACACCACTGGAACAGTGGAAGTTTGAAGTGCCTGACATTAAAGATCCCTCCTTTTTAAAGACAGGAGTTTGGAACAGTCACTTAAAATCTTCTGGTGTAACTCACGACTGATTCTTGGTGTGGTTTTGCTTGTGCTGCTGAGGACAGGCAGCCTAGGAAGAGTGTAAGCTATACCCTCCATATGGGCTTTCAAACAAGGTGGTGAGGGCACCTGGCCAGCTGCAAACTACTGAAATAACAGAATTGTGGAGGATAGATGCCAGTCTAATGGTAATAGTCAGTAAGACTTTCATAAGGGATAGTCACACTTCGCATTTGACAGTGATTTGAGAGTCTCATTTGGAGAAGACTTTATCCCAAATAGATATTCTTTGTTTAGTTTTTCAGAATGAGTTTGTGAAGGTCATCATGCAAGGCTCAGAAAGCAGGCTTCTGTGGAATGCTGTGGGTTGTTTCTTGATTATGGACTTCTATTTATACTTTTCTTTTAAAAAATGTTAATTTTTCAGAGTTAAGTCCCTTTGTATTTTATGCTTGAATTTCTTCTTATTTGGCTGTTTATATGGAACAGAACGAGCACAGAATAGCAAGAAAAGTTCAGTTCTAAATTATTTGTGGCACAAAAGGTGAAGGCCACCTGAAAGCTTCCATGTTTTTGGAGCAAGTTGAGTTGTAACAAGCAAAATTGGTTGTAGATGAATGTAAGATTTGGAAATCCTAATTTAATACAGACTTCATCTGGGCTATGAGATGGATTGCCCCAAGATTTTAGAGTTTTAGAGGTATTTGAAGTTTTATTGAGACAATTTCCCCTATAAGGTGAAAACTAGTGAATCCCGGGAAAAGAAATAGGCTGTTACGCCACTGCCCAAGTACACTGCAAGTCTCCGTGTGCACTGCAGTGTGCTTTGCTCTTTCTCTTGGTTCCTCCCCCAGGCCTCCTCAGAAGGAGGAGTATGAAATTACCTTCTAGAGGGAGAAAGAACTTAACAGAAGGTTCAGAAGTTAAGTAATTTGGAGAAGTTAAGTATGTACTTTGCTATCTTTGAGCTATTGTGATTCATTTTGATTTTGGTAGAAACGATGGCTGCAAAGAAGCAGGCTCCAAACAAGAAGTTGTTAACAAAAAGGTGGTTTTACTGTGGAACCCTTTGCTGCATGATGTATTCACTGTATAAAAAGGTTTGGACACTTTGAGGGGTGTGTGGTGAGAACCCTTTTTACTCTTTTTGTGAGTGAAGATAAACCCTTTTGCTTGGAG